ACAATAAAACAAGACTGCAAAACCATAATTATTATAGCTAAAGAAATAATATTAATTTAAGGTTTAACCAAGATAATAATCAAAACAAATATAATAATAGAAATTTTAATTAGAACAAAAATAACACCTGGAATCAGGGCAGGTTTAATAATAACCAGCAAAATCAGTGGAACAGTTATATACCGAGACAAGAATGATAACTTAATCGAACAAATAGAGTTGGTACAACCAGATTATAATAAACAAGAAAGTACGCTATAGTCGAGTACCTCGACTACCAGATACCCGTTACTCAACTAAAGAGACAAAAGGGAAATGGAGATATGCAAGCAGCAAAGAGAGACTGAAATGAGCCACCTGCCCGCGATCTGAATATATGGTTATGTGGGCGATAGACAGATTTAAGCGTTATGGGCGTTAGAGTAGGCGTTGCAAATTTTTTTTTTATCAATCGATAGGTATTAATGAGACTAATACATTTCCGTTCAATTTTTTTATCTAACATGAAAATTGGGACACGCTGCTGAGACAAACTTGCGCTGCGCAAGAAGCTCAGGAATCTTCATGCCAAATCCCAATAACCCAGCTCTTATAGCTTTCGAATTCTCAGCGTTCATCCGGACGGACGGACAGACGGACAGACGGACAGACGGACATGGCTAGATCTACTCGGCTAGTGATCCTGATCAAGAATATATATACTTTATGGGGTCGGAAAAGCTTCCTTCTGCCTGTTACATACTTTCCGACGAGTCTAGTATACCCTTTTTCTCTACGAGTAACGGCTATACAAATTTACTCTAACAACTGATGCGTCTGATTTAGCTATTGGTGCTGTTCTTTCTCAGAAAGGAAAACCAACAATCTTTATTTTACAAGCGAGCTAAAACCGGACAATCGTACGCAACCAAAAAAAACACAAATTTTGAAGAGATGGTATTCTTTCATTGAAAGGTGTTCACCCAAATTATTTATAGGCCAGGAACAACAAATGCTGTTGCAGATGCCTTGTCGAGGATAAAAATAAATAATTTTGCGGAAAGTATAGAATCGGTCTCAGATCAAAACAATCAGCATTCAGCAGAGAGTGGTTATGAGACTGTTAGATCGATTCGGCTACACTCAGGGAAAAAACCGTTCTCAGCGTTCTCGATTTCAGTATTTTCGATTTCAAAGGTGAGCCAAGAACGACTCATACTAAAAATACTAAAATCGTCATCGAAATCTTCTCGGTTTGAGAACGGGCCTTTGAGAATGGTCGATCTTGATTTTAGTATGAATCGTTCTCGGTTTCAACATCGAATCGAACTCGATTTCGAGAATAACCGTTCTCGGTTTCAACATCGAAAAGATCTCGATTTCGAGAATAAAAGTTCTCGGCTTCAACATCGAATAGATCTCGATTTCGAGAATAACCGTTCTCGGATTCAACATCGAATAGATCTCGATTTCGGTATGAATCGTTCTCAGTTTCAGCATCGCATCGATCTCGATTTCGAGAAGAACCGTTCTCGGTTTCAACATCGCATCGATCTCGCTTCCGAACCCATTCCCAATAAAAATGCTACATTTTTTAAATTTATATATATTTTAGCCTTACGGCTTTAAAGTCATTATTAAGGGTATATACATAAAGGGGAGGCGTTACAAAGTCTCTTAAATTAAAAATGTAGTTTCCTAATGGATTTTTTACAATGTATGATCTTAAATGACAATTGTATTCTACTTCAATTTTTTCACAGTAAACATAAACTTCACTTACATTTATTTTGTGAATTAAAAATTGCTTAATTTTAAATAACATAAAATTATTCTTATTTAAGCATAAATAATAATTAATTTTATAAGTAGTGCCCTTATATTCTAATTGGTTAAAAAAATTTAATGCTATTTACACTCCCATGGTTTTTGTTTATTTCTAATGTAAGATTATTATTTAAAATACTTTGCTCTTTTGATGTAAGTCTTAAATACGGCTCAATAGATTTGGCATGGTCCGTCAGAAACTTTGCAAACTTAATTTGACATTTAATGGCTAAAGTATGGGGAGGATTAGTTCTTGAATTTACATTGTGAAAATAAATCTTGGAATCCTTGTGTTTCGCCTCAAACCTCATGCACCACAAATATCTTAAAGATCCGTACTTTTCAATGGCTGTCGCATAATAGACCATAAAATGGTGTTTAGGCTTTAATTTGCCGAATAATTTAACGTAAATAGAGTGATGTTTTTGCACTAAGCTTCGTAGCGTTTCTAATTTCTTTTTCTTATAATTTGACTTAAATAAGAACTCTATTATATCAAGTAATGTTAATAACAATTCCCATTCTTCGTTACCGTGTGGAACTCTATCTCCAATCATCGAGGGCAAGAAGTGGGTAAGACATTCTGTTTCGCTTGCAGACGTTTTTAAATTACATGTTTTTAGTCGATTCATTTCTTTTTTTACAGACGAATTGCCAACTTCTGTTTCTCCGTACGGAAATAGCGATTTTCTGCTATTTATTTCATTTAAAGTGATTATTATTTTATTTATTAATGAAATAAGAATGTGGCAAATATCATATTTACATACGCCTTCGAAAATATCGTGCATAATGTCGAAACAAAAATTATTTATAACTTTAAACGACAATAACTCGTTGAATATGCAATTTTGCTTCAATCCACTTTCTTGAAAATTATTCAACTGTAAGTCTTCGTAATAAGATTGTTCAGTTCGTAAACTTTCGACACTTTCGGAAGAATCAATTTCCATTTCGTGTTTCGTTCTAGAACAAACGCGGCAATATCGCTTTGAATTAAATGATTGGACATAACCAAGTATGCTGTTAACAGCTAAGTTGTCGCCAACAATTAATGGCAATATAAACCGCACTTTTTGCAAGCCGTTTTTAGTTCTTATTATTATTCCACTCTCAAGAACTTTAAGTTCTTCAACTAAATGGTAAAATGAATTTTCATTTCAATGCGGCATGAAATATGTATTGAACTTTAGAAAGTAAATATTTTGGCATTAAAGGAAAATTAATGTAGCAGCCACATATGGAGAATGTATGGCTTCCTAATGCATTGTTATTTTGAAAGTCATCTAAGTATAAAACAAATGGCACAACAATGTCTGGATCAAATTGCTTTGCTATAGATTTAGAGACTTCTCCAGATGAGAAATTTGTTAAGTCATTACTTTTTAAATTTTTTTGTATGTTGCTTAATGTTAGCTCCAAAATATTTGGTATCTCGAAAATTATTTTTACTGTAAAAGCCAAAGGCATTATAAAATCGTCATTTGACTTCGGACCCAAGGTGGGATTTCCTTTCAATATTAATTCTGTTGTTTTATTATCAATGGAAATTTTTTTTGGCTGCCTATATAGATATGAATAGGTTAATTTTTTTAAAAATGTGTGCTCTGTCTTACAACCTTCAAATGGATCTTTGCAAAAACCAAGAATCGGATTAATTCTATCCACTGTTTCCAGATTTACTTGCTTTTCAATAGCTGTAGACACAGAGCTAAGTAAAATTACAATATTGTTTTGAATTTGCAATACGTATTTCCTCGGCATAAAAGTTAGTTCATATAAACTTAAGTAAATTCAGGCGATTTTTGTTTTAAATCGTCTATGATTGATTGTATGCTTTGGGCTTCAAAACATAAACTTGTTTGTTCTTCCTCATCCTTTTCTTCAACTTCTTCAACGGTTTGATTATACTTAGAGAATAACAATTCTTCACATGAATTTCTTCGACTTGGAATTGATTGCGTATGTAATCTAATTAAGTGCCGCCGAAAACTCAGGAAATTTGTACAAATTTGTGTGCAGCCATCCTGCTGACAAGGCAGCCTCAAGGATGTTCTTGCTAACAGATGCTAAATCTTTAAATGGGATATTAAATTGTTGGGCGTTGGAAATAATTTTCGACAGCGATAGCAGATATACATGTTGAAAAAATTAATTTTTATACCCGTTACTCGTAGAGTAAAAGGGTATACTAGATTCGTCGGAAAGTATGTAACAGGCAGAAGGAAGCTTTTCCGACCCCATAAAGTATATATATTCTTGATCAGGATCACTAGCCAAGTCGATCTAGCCATGTCCGTCTGTCCGTCTGTCTGTCCGGATGAACGCTGAGATCTCGGAAACTATGGGAGCTAGGCTATTGGCGTGCAGATTCCTGAGCTTCTAACGCAGCGCAAGTTTGTTTCAGTAAAGTGCCACGCCCACTCTTACGCCCACAAACCGCCCAAAACTGTGGCTCTTACAGTTTTGATGCTAGAATAAAAATTTTAACTGAAATGTAATGTTATCATCAATACCTATCGATTGACCCAAAAAAAAGTTTGCCACGCCCACCCTAACGCCCATAAACCGCCCACAAACTTCAAAAAATCGTAAATATGAACGTGGATATCTCGGAAACTATCAAAGATAGAGAATTGGGATTTCAGATTTAGATTCCGTAGCCTTATACGCAGCGCAAGTTTGTTACGCGAATATGCCACGCCCACTCTAACGCCCACAAACCGAGAACACCTGTGACGCCCACAAATTTTATGCTAGATAAAAAATTTTTGCTGAAATTTATTGGTCTCGATTTGCCACGCCCACTCTAACGCCCATAACGCTTAAATCTGTATTCCGCCGGTAGGTGGCGCATTTTAATCTTGCTTTGCTACTAGCATATCTCTATTTAGCTGAGTAACGGGTATCTGATAGTCGAGGTACTCGACTATAGCGTTCTTCCTTGTTATTCATGAAATCGACTAAATTTTGTAAATTCGATGATCTTATGTCATAAGCGGTGTCTATTTCGAAAATGATCTTTTGAACTGCGTACCAAGCTTGCTTTGAGGCTTTCGGGTAGCTCAGCGAGTAAGACATTAAAACACTTAAAACACAAATCTATGCTTTTCAGGAAGGAGTCACACTTTAACAGCGACTTGTCAAAGTAAACAAAGAAATCTAAGAACTCCAGCTCAGACGATGCGTGAATAATTATAAATAGCTATATTGTTGTTCCCTCTAAATACTTTTCCCTGACTATATTGTTGATACGACGTTCATAGTCATTCAAGCTTGAAAGCCATAGTACCATCGAAAGTTGAGCATCCGCTATTGTCGGTTTTTGGTTCCTTTTCCCGTTTTGATTCAAGATCCGAGATGTCGGCGGCAAGACGGCATTAAGCAAAATAAGGGTCAAGTAATCCTGGGCATCTGTAAAAATAATAATTATGTAGTTGTGAAAACATTTTTTGCTTAAGCAGAAAACATACCAACGTTGGCGCGTTCTACATCAAGTAGTTGTCGCTTGCAGTCTTCGTTGTGGATGTGCCGTTTGAAATATATCAGAATTTTGTCCTTAAAGCTGTTCCACCTATCGAACATGAGATTTGTCTTTCCTCGGTAAAGGAAATCAAAATCAATCTCGATCTATGGAAAAATATACAATACATAAATCACTCTTATAATTTTAAAAAGAGAAACAGTAAAGCAACAATACAAACGAATGCAAGGGGACAATCACCACTAAGGAACCTAACTACACAGACAATCAAATAAACTCATGTATTTAATATTACCAAAGAAGAAACTTTAGAATGACCTAATTTTGGCCATTCTTGCATGAATTCTAAATTGCTTAGCGACTTTACATCTTCTTGGCGAATTTTACAGGTTTTTCCCAGAGTCTACAGACTTCGCTCCAATCCGATGAGTCTCTCTTTAAAAGCAATTTTAATGACAGTGATAGTCCCTTGTCGTCGTCTTCAAAATCGTGTGGAATATTTTCATCATCTTTGCTAGATAAAACCTTTCGACGTCTGTTCTTATACTTAGAATATAATTTTCCACTGGGGTTACTATGTTTTTTTCCCCGAGGAATAAAATAATAGTCCTTAAGATAGAAGCAGAATGTTTAAAAATAAAATTAAAATGGTTTTTGATTGTGGTTTAAGTATTACCCGGCTTTGCGCTTCGCGAGGAAAAATGCTTATAATCTCGTCCAACAACTTTGAAAAATCTGCGGTTTGAACAACAATGTTGTTGCGGAAAATCTCTTCAGTGATTATATTTATTAAAAAATTCCTTTGCGTTTCTGTCAACACTTTATTGTTAAGTAAATCGCGGCCCAGTTCTGACGATTGCAGTAAGGAACGCAAGCTCTATGAAATATATGAAATTTTTTGTTAGCTTATATTATTTAATTTCTTTTCGGAAAAAGTTAATTTAGTAAGATTATATTGCCTGTTTCAGCACATTATTGGTGCCTTCATATAAAAACTTTTTTTTTCCTTAACTGGAACTGCGTTTGGCTCTTGAGACTGTAAGATTATCTTAAAGGCAAAAATTTGACTTAAAATATCTAAATTGTCAAAACAGAACAGATGCGAGTGCGATTACTCTTAAATGTATCATCACTTTTGTGGAACAAAATGTATTAAGTTTTTAAGTTTTTTCTAATTTCTAGGTCAACCAAGAGAAAAAGTTGTTATATCAATTTGTAATATTGTTAAGATATCTGAAATAAACAACATGGTATCCTTACTTTTTATACCCGTTACTCGTAGAGTAAAAGGGTATACTAGATTCGTCGGAAAGTATGTAACAGGCAGAAGGAAGCGTTTCCGACCCCATAAAGTATATGTATTCTTGATCAGGATCACTAGCCGAGTTGATCTAGCCATGTCCGTCTGTCTGTCCGTCCGGATGAACGCTGAGATCTCGGAAACTATAAGAGCTAGGCTATTGAAATTTGGCGTGCATTTGGCGTGATTCCTGAGCTTCTTACACAGCGAAAGTTTGTTTCAGTAGAGTGCCACGCCCACTCTAACGCCCACAAACCGCCCAAAACTGTGGCTCCTACAGTTTTGGTGCTAGAATAAAAATTTCAACTGAAATGTATTGTTCTCATCAATACCTATCGATTGACCCAAAAAAAGTTTCCCATGCCCACTTTAACTCCCACAAACCGCCCAAACCTGTGACGCCCACAATTTTCATGCTAGAAAAACAATTTTAACTGAAATGTATTGGTCTCGTCAATACCTATCGATTGATCTAAAAAAAATTTGACACGCCCACTCTAACGCCACATAACGCTTAAATCTGTCTACCGCCGGTAGGTGGCGCTCGCTTTGCTGCTTGCATATCTCCATTTCGCTTTGGTCCATTTAGCTGAGTAACGGGTATCTGATAGTCGAGGTACTCGACTATATCGTTCATCCTTGTTTTTGTTTATATTTTAATTAAGGAGTTATTGTTAACTAAAGTATAAATCGTCTGCTGTATCATGAATTTAGTGGCACACTGTATATATCTTACCTTTGCTTTTTTCCACTCCGTCCACCTGACCCTGAAGAGCACGCGGAGCCCAATCGGTGGAATGGCTTCTTTAATTTCGTCGTCATTTATGAATTGAAGGCACTCATAAGAAACCCCGGCACCTAAAACAAGAAATGATTTTTATTAATACTATACTAGAAGACAGATGCAAATAACAATAAACATTTATTACATATGTACATGTCGAATTACGTTCGGGTTCCATTAGAGCAGAGTGCGTTTCTTGTAACTGCCTATCCTGTTCCTTCCTGCGAACCACACACGACGACAGCGCCACAACGCTGACGCCTCGCTTTAACGGTTCCTCTCAAAAGGACATGACAAAATCCACGAAGCCTGCAACGCAGCTGTGTGTCGTGCTACACTTTTTGTAGCGCCGCACAGGCAACAGTTCTAACGTTACCTTGCAAGGCAAGCAGAGAGAAACAATGATATTGCAAAAATGCAGGACATAAGTTGACACAAGAGAGGACAGAAGAAAAAAGCATCCCTTATACTCTGAGATATACCAATCGCCGACCCTGCAAGCATTTTTTATCGCGGAAGGCACTATTAAGTGACTTCGAGAAGATGAAAACGATCGTCCGCGATATCGCATTCGGATCGCGGAGGTGACTCCCGTCGGGAAGAAATGTGCCACTTCGGCGACACTTCTCGAAGTCACTTCTGCGTTACTTCTGGAAGAGTCGCCGAAGTCACTTCTGGAAGTGTCGCCGAAGTGACTCCGAGAAGTGCCGCCGAAGTGGCACATTTCTTCCCGACGGGAGTCACTTCCGCGATCCGAATGCGATATCGCCGAAGTAACTTCTGGAAGTGTCGCCGAAGTCACTCATAGAAGTACCGCCGAAGTGGCACATTTCTTCCCGACGGGAGTCACTTCCGCGATCCGAATGCGATATCGCCGAAGTAACTTCTGGAAGTGTCGCCGAAGTCACTCATAGAAGTGCCGCCGAAGTGGCACATTTCTTCCCGACGGGAGTCACTTCCGCGATCCGATTGACTTAACTTCTAAAAGTGTCACCGTAGTCACTTCTGGAAGTTTCTCCGAGGTGACTTTACATTTGCTTGTAGAAGACATCTAGAAGAGTCTTTCCCAATTGGAAAAACTTGAATAAAAACATATTTTTTTATACTTTCAATACTTTGCATTTATTATTGGTATAAGGGCTTTGTCCGCTTGTATACACGGAACAATGTTATTTAGGTCCTGCTCCGTCGACATAAGAAATTTATTAATAACCATTTCTAAAGGAAACAGAAACAAAAATTTTTTTTTGTTCAGTCAAAGTAAAAATAAACTAGAAGACATTATCTTTTACAATGAATTATGTTGAGAATCGTTGGATCCGCAGTTACACGCCAAGTAATGTCCACAGCTAGCTTGTCCGTAAATACCTTTAAATAATCGTACAGCTCACGATAAGCACTTAATTTCGCACCCTTTGTTAAGGGGGATATTTAAATATGTTAAGCAATTAATAAGATTTAGAAAAAAACAGAGCAGTATTTTTAAAACGCACAAAATGTATACAAAACCGCACTGTACACAGACAAATCGCGCAACGAAATGACGCTCAGGCGAAAAATAACAGCGTAGGTCAAAAGGAAGACCAAAAAATTTTCAGAAAAAAAGGGGTAACGGAAAATTACCGCGACCTCTTTTTATGGCTTGTTTTTTTCCATTAATTTTGTTTTTGTAAAATGTGTACTATCGTCTTTCTATCGCGCAGAAGTGTCTCAGAAGTTACTTCTTCGCGAACCCGACCCTTTTTGTTTTTGTAAAATGTGTACTATCGCCTTTCTATCGTTCAGAAGTGACTTAGAAGTTACTTCTACGCGTTATATGTATATTTTGTTTTTGTAAAATGTGTTCTACTGCCGTTTTATCGCGCAGAAGTGTCTCAGAAGTTACTTCTTCGCCATCGCGACCCTTTTTGTTTTTGTAAAATGTGTACTATCGTCTTTCTATCGTCCAGAAGTGACTTAAAAGTTACTTCTACGCGTATATTTTGTTTTTGTAAAATGTGTACTATCATCTTTCTATCGCGCAGAAGTTACTAAGAAGTGACTCCTGGACGACAGGCGATAAAAATATCGCCCTTTTGCTTGCAGGGTCTGTGCGTGCATGCAAACTTGTAACTACAATAAGTCGAATAAAATATGTTCATAGAAATCTGTGTTTGTTAATAGCATCCAATTTACTTCATTATTTCACACATTAGCTTATAAGCTAATAATTATTAGTTTACGTTACGTTTATGTTTGTGTATATATGTATGTATGCAAAACAGACATTACAACACATTACCGATTTCGTTTTGGTAAGAAAACCGAGTTCGAATAAATATCAGAGATAAACTAACACACTAACACAAATTGTAATAAAATTATTTTACTTAAGCTGTAAGTACGGAAGGGCTTTTATTAGTTTAAATTCTTGAAGCAGGTCCTCCAATTTTTGCTCGTCTTCGTTGTCACTCATTACACTGTTAAATCGCACAGTTTCACAAAATACAATGAAGTGAATTTGCAGCCATAAAGGCGCCGCTTACTTCAATAACTTCGACAACGGTAACTTCAAGAGAGGAGTTTGGTCTCTCTCCTCTCCTGTCACTCTCATTTTTTCTACGTCTTCCCCTCACGACAACAACCACAGAACCGAGATTGATTTTAGTTCGGAATACTAAAATCGACATCGCTTCCGTCATGAAACCGAGAAGAAAAACGTGAGAAGACACAATACTAAAACCGAGAAGAACCGATCTCGGTTTTTTTCGATCTCAGTTTTTCTGGGTGTAGTGATCCTGATCAAGAATATATATACTTTATGGGGTTGGAAACGATTTCTTCTGCCTGTTACATACTTTCCGACGAATCTAGTGTAGCCTTTTACTCTACGAGTAACGGGTATAAAAACAGGCAGTTAATCCTAATTAAAAACAGCATAAGTCGTACGTTTCATAAAGATAATGTACAAACACTAACACGTTTTATAGATATAGTCGTATTTTACAATAAGGTCATAAATTGTAACCCGAACATGGGTTCGCCTGAAAAGGGTCAGATATCATAGATACACAAGCGATAGCGGATGTGCACTTGAAAAATCCAAAGATAAGCAGGTATGTCTGCGAGGGTCATAAGATAAGAGTAAAATAAGATTCTCATTTTAGCTACGTAAGAGATGAATATTAATAAAGAAATCAGTTTGAAATAGTAACTCAACAAATGAAGACGTCCTAATTTCTGGTAGCCCTAATCATTT